TGTGTGTGTGTGTGTGTGTGTGTGTGTGTGTGTGTGTGTGTGTGTGTGTGTGTGTGTGTGTGTGTGTGTGTGAAATGAAATCGTGAATATATAGTTGACAACTGTACGTGATATCTTTATTGCGACGATCATTTCATGAAACACTTTTTAAATTTTATGCGAAATAATTTTAAACAATAACAATCACTTTTTTATTAAACGTGTACCTCAATAGGAATCTTCAAATAATCTTCAAATCAAGACGTATGACATAAAATATTTTACTTAATAAAAGCCGTATTCTGAGAATTGTGACTCAAATATAGAAAATAAAATTGTATGAATTTGGAGAAATAGACAAATGAGATAAATAAAATTCTTATAATGCATTATAATATTATTTATCTCATTATTACGTTATAATATTATAGCAATCATAATATTAAATACGATAATTTTTTTTAACCACGGCCGATTACACATTCTTTAATTACACATTCTTTAAACATTCTCTAAAAAGATAACAAAAGTAAAAAAAAATGTTCACTTGAGTTTTTATTAACTCATGCATATATTTTTATAAACATAACAATCATGTTAAGTTTTGTCATTAGACTTCAACTCTGTTGAAATTTAATTTACACTGAAGCTATTCGGATCCACTATGTGTAATACAGGAAGATTTTATCAATAATAAATAATCAACTAATGATTTATTAAAATTCACACAAGATTTTAATATAAATTAACAAATCTAAGTGAAACATAATTTATTTTTAATTAGAAATTTTGTGACAAGTCCAAATAGCCCGAATAGTTTTACATCATACAACTCATAAAACTCTTGCAAAAATTAATTAATATTGAAAGATATAGTGATTAATTATTTATTTTGTATTGAAGCGACTGACTCGTCACAAAATTTACCTCTTAAAAATAGATTATTTTTTGTATATACATTTTAATTTATGTTAAATTTTAATTTATTATTTTAATTTATGTTAAAAATGTAAAAATATGTAATTTTCAGTATTAAATTGATCAATATTAAATTGAATTTCTCTGAGGGACCTATACCGCACATTTTATCCAAGAGACATCTTAGAAATATCCTTAGGACGTTCAAACAACCCAAGTACATGTCCTTTGGATGGCTTTAAGATGTGCTGTACGGAAATCTGTGCTGTACGGAGAGGTTAATTGCAGCGATTTTATTTTCTGATTTAAATAACAATAGTAGCAATGATCATGATTATACATAAGTATGCTGCTAATTACTATCAACATTCTAAGGAATCCATACATTCTAAGGAATTCACTAACCTTATAAACTACTGATTCCAGCATTGTGATACTATCAATTGCTATATGCATGTAAATTTTATTATTTACGATGCATACAGAGACTGTATATCTCGTTTAAATCTCGCACGTAACTTAAGAATTCAACGTACATACGGTCGCACGACGTTTATTTGACGAAACGTTCAAGTGTTCACATCGAGATATATATACTGTATCCGCGTATAATATGACGATTATCCTACACTTTTTCCGGTAAACCCGATGTTGCTCGTCTTTTTCATTCAATTAAATTCATAATTCGAATAAGAGTATGATTTCAATAGACTCATAAAGGACGCACAAAGAAAGGAATTGCCAATATGTCAACAACGCATTATTGACGCAATAACATGAGAAGGATTGTTTGTGTGTGCAATGTTCCACGCATTATAACATTCGACACTTCACAGTAACATTCGCGATGATCCGATCATCTTAGCAGACGCAAATCACTTTTGAAGAACGAAAAGTAACTGCGAAAAATGAATGGAGCAATTTGAACAGGATTCACCATTAGTTCAATATGGCTGACGCACCCATCGACAGTATCGACATTGCGATTTTCGAGCAATCGAATATCGAATGCGTAACCAGGAGAGGGAGGTGTAAATGGTGTGATTGATGACACTGCGCGAGTGTATTAAATTGTGATGGGAATAATCTGGTAGCACTTGATACTCTTAGTAGTGCTGATTTAATTGTTATAATGATTTCACGAGGATTAAGCTTATTAAAAATTGTACATAGAAGTAATCAAAGTAAAGCCGCTGCAAATCTGCGCTCCGTTAGACTATCTCATAGTGGGTAGGTGAAATTATTACGTAATACTCTACGTTGTAGGTTATGTTTCAATGTTTCGCTTTTCAATACAAGTGCATTTCGTTGTACAAAAAAAATATATGCGTTATGATTTAATTAATTTTTTTGCTATGTATTTACGATAATTTACTGTATTATTTCCTTATCAGTCATATATATCGTAATATCGGAATGGCAGAAGAGAAAAAATGGGTATATGCAGCTGAATTTTTTGGAGGCATTATGTGGTGGTGGATATTGTGGCATTTTTGGCACGATTTTGGCCACATTATAGTAAGTATCATGTAATTTCGAGATTTTTATTTTTATATATCTCATATCAGTAATCTTCATGCAAGAATTTTATTTGTTCAGGGAGAGTTTCCATATTCAGATCCATCTAAGTGGACAGACGAAGAATTAGGTATACCGCCAGATGATTACCCTGAGCCTGCGATTCGCATATTATAGATTTGCGATAGTGTTATGTAAAGGTAAAAAAAAATATATTTATCATTATATCAAAATAAGACTCTGCAGTTTTAACATTCATCTAGAATAAAAGTGTTACGTTTATAAAACTCTAAAATATAATATATTTTGTTTTTCATCCATTTTACATTCTTATATATATAAATGTATTTTCCTAATTTTCAAAATATACATGTCTCAAATATATAAATATTAATCTATGCTTCATGGTAGAAAAGGAAAAGAATATGTGTTTCCCAAATTATGAACAAATTATTATGAATAAATCATTATATACATCATTATATACATATTTATTAATATTTTGTTACAAAAGTATAATCTTTTTATTCAAGATATTTATAACAAAAGTATAATCAAAATCATAATGAAAAATTAAGATTATGTACTATGCACTTTGTGCAATACATATTAGTTCCCTTTCGTGACATTAATAGAGATTGTTTTAATCTCAAGATATTCTTTCAAGCCTTCTTCTCCTCTGAAAAAAGGATACAAAAGTTAAATAACATACTATTTAAAGCTTAAGCTAATTATGACTTACAATTCACGTCCTAAACCAGATTGTTTGAAACCACCAAATGGTGTTTGTGGTATGATAACATCATAACAATTTATCCTGAAAGATATTGATACATAATTATATATGTCCATATCATGAAATATTATCACATATTCTTACATAATACGTACCAAACACTACCTGCTTCTATAGCTTGGGCAAATTCCAAAGCTTTATTAATATCTTTAGTGATTACACCCGAAGCAAGGCCATAGTTAGTGCGATTGGCACGTTCAATTACTTCATTGATGGTTTCAAATTTCAAGATTGCTTGAACTGGACCAAAAATTTCTTCTTTGGCAATCCTCATATCATCGGTTACTTTTGAAAAAACTGTAGGTTGTACAAAATAACCAATTTCGCCCTGCCGATTTCCACCAGCTTCCACAACAGCACCTTGCTGTTTGCCCGAATTGATTAAGCCTATGACTTTATCGAACATCTCTTGATCAATTTGCGGACCTTGATTTACTTTAGGATCAAATGGATCGCCTACTTTTATATCAAGCGCCAGTTGTTTAGCATGTTTCACAAATTCGTCATATATTTTAGAGTGTACAAATGTTCGCGATCCTGCGCAACAGTTTTGTCCATGATTTGCAAATATTGCATTATGTGCGATTTTTGCAGCTTCTTTCACTGTAAATATAGCCAATGTAATATAAATTAATTATTTATTTAATGAAGTATATTAAAGTATATTAAAATTTTTCATTATTTTTACAACATACCGTCAACATCATCGAAAATAACGAGTGGGCTCTTGCCACCTAATTCAAGGCTGACACGCTTAAGATTACTTTTACCAGCAGCTACCATTATGGCATGTCCGACCTAGGGAAGAAACATAATTTATACCAATACGTACATTTCTATCAATACAGTCATATTACAATACAAAATGTAAATACCTCGGTGGATCCAGTAAAAGCGACTTTATGAATTTCTGGATGTTCAGCAATAGCTGCACCAGCAGTTGGACCGTAACCTGGAATGACATTTATGACACCCGCTGGAAACCCTGCCTCTTTGGCTAGAGCAGCTGCATAAAGCGCAGTCAAAGGTGTTTGCTCGGCTGGCTTTAAGATCAGTGTACATCCAGTAGCCAAGGCAGGGGCCCATTTCCAAGCCAACATCATGAAAGGATAATTCCAAGGAATGATTTGTCCTACAATGCCGACTGGCTCTTTTCGTGTCAATGTAACACTATTATCGCCTAGTCAAATAATAAATAAAATTATTTGCTATCACTCAATTTATATTATATCTGCCATGAAAAACTAATGCGTGAAATTTAATATAGCATATTTTTTTAATCTATATACATACATAGCTATACATACATAGAATAATTATTATACAAACGAAAACAATTCGAAAAATGAATACCTGTTGGAATAGTAGTTCCAAGTATTTTATCACACCAGCCTGCATGATAACGAAGAACAGCAATACTTCCTTGAATATCCTCAACAGCATTTGTATATGTTTTTCCATTATCAAGAGCTTCGAGAGTAGCAATATAATCTAAATCGCGTGTAACAAGATCTGCGAACTATTTTATTCATTTATATTTAGTATGCAGTTAATATTTGTATTAGGTTAAATATAAAAAAATATAATACCTAATCACAAAATTTTACCTTGTGCATAAGTTGTCCACGGTTGTATGGATTCATTGTACGCCATTTCGAATTTCTGTTAAAAGCTCGTTTAGCAGCTTCCACTGCTTTATTTACATCAGCCTAAAATAAAATTCATTTTTAAAAATTATAATTTTAATATTTAAATATTAAATGAAAAAAGTTTAATGAAAGCATGCAACTGATGTTCAAAATATTTTTTCTATTAATTTCTACTGTCAGAGTTTCTACTGTTGTCAGAATAGTTTCACTCTTGAGATCGACAATAAAATCTATTTTTCTCTCAATCAATTTACTTATATAGTTTGATATTTTACTTTGGAACATTCTGATTTAAATAAAAAATCGAACCGTTAAGTGAATATGTACTATACATTGTTAAAAATTTAATGAAATTTAATATATTTTTCATAAAATTGTATTAAAAGTAAATTTCATAAATTTAATGTACATGTTCATTACATTTAAGTAACTACTGTAACTTAATTTTCAGTTAAATCATTCTTTTACTTTTAATTTCATAACGAGTTTCATTTACATTGTAAAGATGATTACATTTCTAACAGTATATGTCATAAAATTTGTTTTACAATATTGTTTTTATTTATACCATTACGTATATCATTCTTGATTCGTAGCTGTTTCTCTTCATATTTTTTTAAATTTGTGAATCCGAATTATTATTAAGATGTGCGCGCGCGCACACACACACACACACACACACACACACACACACACACACACACACACACACACACACACACACACACACACACATATGTAGCCGTGTAAATAATTATATGTATTTCTTGTGGATAAAAATTAACTAGATAATGAAATATAAAAATATATGATGAGACGGTTTAATACTCGAGCACAGATAAAAAAACAAAGTTAACTGTGTCATATCAAAATCAAAAATTATTTTCAACTGTATACAATTCAATTTTCCGAGTTATATCAATTAAATTAAATTATGTTTTTATTCAGTTTATAGTATCTCTTTAAATTCTTTTAAATTCTTTTAAATTCTTTAACTAAATTATAGAGACCACAACGGAAATTTAATGAATAAGTGTAGGAAATGTGATTCAAATTAATAAAATATTTATATTTACATTTTTGTGTTACGTTACGAGGTCTATTCTATAACTCTTAATGACTGTAACGATATCGTTAGAGTCGTTAAAAGTTACAGAATAGCCTCCTAAATCATTATTTTTTTATATCGAATCGATTAAAAGCCAACAAAAAATAAATTAATTTATATATTAACAAAAAATAATTTAAATATTAACTTTTTCATAATCAAAAATTTGTAAATGAAAAAATAGCAAGTAATTCCCAAATCTAGATTCCCCCAAAAGCGATGTAATTATCTCTTTATCTTATCTTTTATTATCTTTTTTTATGCAGTGTTCTACGATAATAATATATAATGGTAATAATATAATTAATTAATATAGAGAACTTTACCTTATCTCCTTCTGAGATTTCAGTGATAATTGTACCATCGGCAGGATTTATTGTGGAAAATTTATGACCACTCACAGCATCCACAAATTCATTGTCGATGAATAGCTATAAAAAATATTTGATATAGTTAATAATGAAAAATAGTTTATTGATTTAAAAATTTGAATCGTTAACAAGTTTAAATGTTGATAAAATCAACAAAATGTTTTATTCTGTTTTTCGCTATTTTTTATATTCAATTTTAATTAAAAATTTGTAAAATTTAAATTATGTTTTTGCAACTCTCTCTACTTTAAATAAAGTTAACATATTCTTTACATAACACGCAAAAATTTCTTTATGTAGATCACATAAGGATTATTCTATTAATAAATCTTAATTCAAATGTTATTCAAATATTTGCGATTTGATATATTTAGTTAAAAAAAAAACAATCATACATTTTATGAACAATACAATATAAATATCAACTTACTTGAGTATATTTAATTTGAACTTGCTTTGCCATTTTGTTCTCGGTGTTCACTCGGCAACACTTAGCGAGTGAGTGCCAACGAGTGTTTAATCGGCATTTATAGGGACAACGTCACTACCATCGTTCAACAAGAAATGTTTTCTTCTCTTCGTGTGATAAGATTGCTCTACAAGCCTTTAAATATAGCTTCTTTATCCGTTTTTTTTTTCGGATCTTTATAATCATAAAAAATTTAATGAAAATATTATAATATTACATCAATATATTCTAATAATATTAATATTAATATTAATATTAAGAAACGCCAAAATTAAAAATGTTAATGTAATATAATATTATTAATAACATATATATTAGCAATATTTATGAATATTCATATAAATGTTGCTAACATATGCAAATATAACAAACGATATTACTTATACATGCGTGCTTGCGTGTGTGGAAAATCTGTATTTTATTATCTTTTCATGTTATTATTTTCTCGTGTATCTTTATTTACAATTAGAATCAGTTTTTAATCTCAAAAAAGATATCACTTTTATTTTCTTTATGTTTACTATTTTATATGATTCGTATGTAATAATTAAATTGATTTATTGTACTTAGATCTGTTTTTAGACTTGCACTAAAGTACCGTACTCAGATCTATTTTTAGATCTACACTAACTAAACTGAACTAAAATTCTTTTTCTCGCTTTCGCCAAATATATTATCAAATATGTATATATCTAAAGTGTACACTAATTCAGCCACCAAAAACAGACTTCTTGAGAATATTACAATGTTCAATTATTTCTCTTGAATTACTTCGCGTTTTGTTTTCTTCCGAAACTCTGAAACTCTAATTGTAAATATAGTTATAGTCCTTGATCTATTTTGAGAATATTATATAGCGAATTCGTGCGCACTGAGTGTGTTCAATCGAATTCGTTATCAAATAGTTAACTCCTTGTCAAATTATTTGTTGATAATAAAATATAAATCATATTGTTCTCATTATATATTCTTAATGATATATATATATACAATCGAATTTCTCTGGAAATTTGTTATCAAATAATATTATATTTAGACAACTGTTTGATTCGATAAAAAAGTTTTTACATAGGGCATCTTCACGTGTCCCCCAACTGATAAATTAATCAAGTCAATATTTTCGTATAGGCTGCTTAAAACAACCTTGCATCATTTCTTTTATAAACATTTCTTTTATAAACATTTAATCAGCATGCGTCCTTAATGTTAAAAAAACAAAAATAAAAAATAAAAAAATAAAATACATTTTTTATTTTGCATAAAAAAAATGTAAATATCTTTATGTAGGGAACTTTTTTATTATACGTAATATTATATTTTAATATACGTAAACCTTTTTCGATAATCTAAATATTCATGTATTAATACATTTTTTAATGTAGAGATATTTATTTTCGTATTATATAGAAAAATAGGTATGTAATATCTTGAACTTAGTCATTTTGTATTATGATTGAATGATAACGAATCAATTTTCTTTGACAAAAAAAAGGTTAATTTGAAAACATCATCCCTTCTTTAGAAGAATGAGGTGATTCCAGCTGTGCGTATTAAATCAATAAATCCAGTTTACCAGACGAGCTTGTGAGCGACAGCTTAAGTTTACAGAAATTCATGTAGTTTATTGCACGCAAATGTACAATTCCATTGTACAGTCTATGTTCAGTATATCTTTAAAATATAAATCATAAAACACATTACGCACATTACTTTTTTGATTATCCTACAAAATGTCGGATATTCCAAACGGACACGATTGTTCTGCTGACAGCACACAGCACACTTTGCAACAACAAATTGAAGTAAGTTCTTCTTATATCATTAATTTACATAAATTACACACATATCGACACATTTAGTAGCAACGATATCTCCTTGATGTATGTGTAAATAGATTGTTCTTCTCTCTCTAAGAAGATATGTAGAAAAAGTACATTCATTTTTCATTATGTTGAATGATGTGTCTATTTGCGTGTAATTATTGTATTTATACAAATATACACAATCTACTTTTCATTTTGTAATAAATTTTAAATCAAAAGGCACAACCATGCCCTATGAAGCACGAATGTGGAGACAACGCCGAAAAACCTCCGCTTTATTTACCTCAGCCCGAAGATGAATATCCACCAAAATTTGAACACGCAATGGAACCTATTGGTCCATGGGCTACAGGCAAAGTAACCTGTTCTCGCGAGGGTGGAATAACTGGTTTGAGGCCAGTTGCAGATCGATATTCCATCACTCGCTACGCACCAAGTGAATGGCGCGCGCACAATTTGAATATCTTTCAGCAATCGGATGAGAGAATCTATGATGCTCAGTACGTAGTTCAACATAATTTGTGATTTTTTAAAAATGGTATCTAGAATTTGATTCGAGAATTATTGAAGGATCTCTGGGTTCAATAATGGGTTCTGTAATATTATAAAAGAGATTGGTATTTATTAATTTTTAATAATATTAATAAAAATGAATTAGAGTCGCAGCTGACCGTGCAAAGGAATGTGTAGACCAAGTATACATGACAGCTGACAAGATGCAATTAGAAACGACGGAACATTTAAAAACACGGGCTAATGTGGTGTATCATTGGAAGATAAAATTAGAACATGCG